ACAAAATAAAACCATTATTGTTCAGCTTCCAATGATCGATATATGTTTTTGAGATTTCCAAAATCGGGCTAAAAATGGTGACTGTGTCCCTTTAACTGTTAGTTCCTGCATAGAATCTTAGACAGTTGTAGCATAAGTCTGAAATATTGTAGTTGTAGTTGCTGTGAATGTATGGAAGTAACTAGCTAGTGAGGGAACAACCACTAAGGCCTAAGCCCGCGGTTTTTTGTCCCAAGTTGCGTAGCAACAAAAAGTCTAAACTTCTTTGAGTACATGCAAGCAGATTTTGTTCTCTCGGCTGGACAATCCTCAACTCAATTCTATCATGGAACAGCCCGCAGATTATCGGTTTACATGTAAAACCAGTCCCACTTTTTTACTCCACGAGAATGAGTTTGGGATGTTTAGGTCTCAACCAGGACTGCCCAAAAATTATTTGATTAATTCCGAGCGTAGAGATGGATGGCCCTAAACCTCACATGAGTTATATTATAAATGTTAGTCGGTAGATAAACTTTTGCTGAGTCAAAAATTCATTATTCACCGTACACCTACAAGTAAGATAGCAGTAGTTTGGCCCTGTAAAGTCTGAAACAACTAATTCTTGAGAAATAGATTTGCCTTTGCCTTTCCAAAGTAGTAGTCAACTGGTGCACATAAGCTTAAGTGAAGCTATTTTCCTGACACAAATCTATGGTCAAATTTTACTTTTCTCCCTTTCGCCAATCGTATTCCTAATAGCAAGCTTCGGGGATAGACCTAATAAATAAATCTGATTAATAGCTGTAAGCAAAATTACGAAATAAAGCAAATTTGGTGGAGTGTGAAGGAAAACATGAACAGATCACAAAGTAAGCTCGGTTAAGTATAAACTTAAGATACACATGCGAAAATTAGAGTACTTTTCGTTGTGAAAGATTAATAACCCCAAAAGGTAAATTGCTAGCATAAGTTGTACAGATTTAGAAAACAGTCCTAAGAAAATAAGCGCGCTGATTGGTTAAAAATCGTGTTCCTATAACTCGATAGAAACACAGAACTAGCACGAGCTGTTGACGTAACGATGGCGCGAGCAAAGAGAATTTACATTTGGATAATCAAAGTTAACAAGTTGTTTTCCTTTTTTTCGTCGCGGTGTTTTCTAAAAGGAATAGAAAACATGTTCTCCGTGTTTCTATCGAGTCATAGAAACACTCGTGAAAGTTTGGGAGAACTCGAA